CCAACATTTCACCTTTACTAACCTACTCTGTGGCATTCTCAGGTACACTGATAACCTTCATGTAAAAATAGTACTCTCTGTAACTAGAGGCTCTTCAGAGCATGTCATCTAGGGTTAAATAGAAATTTTCTATCTGACTTACTTGAAGAAGAAAATGGACAAACTTTGCAATTTAAACAAAAATGCAATGCTGTAGTACATGCACACAGACAAATACAATTAGTAAGTGTATGTGCACAAAATGAAATATTGCACTGCTGTAACTGTTGAAAATTATGTTTTGTTTGAAAAAATCTAGCTCAACCTCAAGAAAATCTATCTGAATAAGACTGGAAAAGAGCAGAAATTATAAACATGTTACAATAGGATCAATACTTTAAGCGTGTATTTGTACTCATGTCACCTAGTCATCCTATGAGTAAAAAATATAGAGAATGTGGTCACAAGGTATTCCTAAGCCTATACACTTCCAATGCTGCTATAGAAAAGATTACTACAAGTTTAAAGATATTTTCTATCGACACCATCAGTAAATAATACGACAAATACCACGTGAGACATGACTGCGCGTAACTAGTGCAAAAATAAGATAACTTCTTTTCAAACCCAGTCATCTGCATGTTGCATCCATCACATGTACCAAATACGTGAGATTGCTAAAAAAATTTAAAACACTCACTTTTTTAACTAAAAGGGAAAGAAACGCATGGACACAGTATGTTTTACACACCATATATGTAATTCTGCAAGTACAAGAACTCACAGCGAAAGGAAAGAAGAATGTGTCATAATATGTCAACCACAGTACACCACCTGCCATATACAGTTCCAACAAGCTCTTACGCCAATACCATGCCTCATCAGGCCGACTGGGATATGACAGATATAGTAGTAGTCTAGGCGCTATTTATATCATCAATTTACTTGATCAACGACTGTTATGGTGTGACCAAGATTAAGTAAGTGAATTGTCATTATTATTGTTTTTTATTTAAGCATTTTGAAGCCAGACTTTCATTATTTAATTTGTTTATATTTATAACACCATAATGTTTTATCAATTTATTTGAACTAATTTTTTTGTCACTTAGATGAAAAATAGTCCTTTTTGTTCCTGAAGTGAGTCATTAGATGAACTGGTGAACCGGAAAGCTAGTCCTTTTTATTCCTGAAGTGAGTCATTAGATGAACTGGGAAACCAGAAAGCTAGTCATTTTTGTTCCCGAATTGAGTCATTAGATGAACTGTGGAACTAGAAAGCAAGTCATTTTGTTCCTTAAGTGTGTCAAGCAACCACAGCGTCATCGAGAGAAAACATCTTTGGATTATTTATTTGGTGTTAAGCATAAAGCTACACTATGGGCTAGCTGTGCTGTGCCCACCATGGGTATCGAAGCCCGGTTTTTAGCGTTAAAGCCTTCACACTTACTGCTGAGTCACTGGGGAGGGAGGGGTGCAATGATATCATTAAAAGCAAAGAATAACATGTTATAATAAATTGTTGGCAATGTATAAAGTTATTTTTCAAGCTTGCTTGTTTCCACCATAAAGTTACAAAAGTACTCTTAAGCGGACCGTGTTATTTATTGTCTAACTGTACAAAACCGTGGTTAATGTTTCATTGCTCTACGGTAAATAATAAAGGTGTGGCGATACAGCGATACGATACGAGTGTCGCATTGTGAAGCCGTGATACGATTGTATCGATACATCGTCCGATACGATACAATTCATGTATCTTCACGAAATTTGGCAAGCTTTCAGTAAACAGTATTAATATTTTGTACAGAAAAAATCAGAATTTCTAATAAAGTATTTTTACTAAAAATTAATGATTCGGTATAGGAAGATGAGTGCCACATGTTGTCTTGATTTCTTATATCAAAAACATTACATGTAAAGTAACAGAACAAATTAACAATAACAAAATAGATAGACAAATATTAACTTTTTATATTTTACTTCTCTTGCCAGATATTATTCTTATTTTACTGTTCTAGTACTATATGATTCTTATTTTACTGTTCTAATACTATATTATTCATATTTTACTGTTCTAGTACTATATTATTCTTATTTTACCGTTTCAAGTAAAATATGAATAATATAGTACTAGAACAGTAAAATAAGAATAATATAGTATTGGAACGGTAAAATAAGAATAATATAGTACTAGAACGGTAAAATATGAATAATATAGTATTAGAACAGTAAAATAAGAATAATATAGTATTGTTGTGAATCAGTCTAGTACTAAAGCCACTTATATCTAGGTTGTTTTTTTCTGTTCTATTCCTTTATCAGTAGGAAATAAAGGATAAGGTGGTTCAACGTTGAGAACAAATAATATATGATCATAATTTAACTACATTCCTAGACGTTCAGATTACCGTTGAGAATGACGGCTTGTTTGTTTCTTTGTGCTCTGTTTCTAGCGTTGTAAGTCCGCAGACATACCGCTGTGCCACTAGGGGGCTGAGAATGATAGACTAGTGGCTGAAGTTTATCGAAAACCCTGTGAAAAATCTAACTTTTTTCCTTATAATTCAGGCATTTGTACACCAACAGAAAAATTTAATCTAAAACAGTAAGTGCACAGATTAACAATAAATGATTACCCTATACACTTTACTGGGAAAAATATTATAAGATATCAAACAAGAAACTTATATTTACACGAAGAAAATATTGTTATCTACAAAACAAGAGAAATCTAACACAACTTTCTAAGTTATCCCTTAAATTAGTCCAAAAGTCTCCTCACGCTTCGAGTAGTGAACAGCTGGGTTTTAATACAAGAGTGGCTGAAAGACACTGGTAAAACTTTAAAGAATATATTACTAAAATCACTATTTAAACTGAAAATGTGTAACAGACGGTTTAATAAATGCTTAGGATACCAAGCTGGTTTAAATGAAAACAAAAGGGAATTCTCAATAGCCGCGGCACTTGAAATTCTTTTGGCGGGATTAGAGTAAATTAGTCTATGAGTATTTTTTTCTTTTTTATTAGCTATATTTGTATACACCAGCAATACCAAGCGTGAGGCGCGCGTATACCCAATTCGATTTCATTGCTCATCAGGATCCTTTAGGCAGAAGGCCTTGGGCATGGTCAAATATATCAATCGAAATAATTTGACCTCCTGAGTCGAAAACTTCAGTTATATCTTAAATCGGTCAAGAGATGACGGAGCTATGTGCTAAAAGTTTATACTTGAAAAAAAACAAAAAAACTCAAAGCCATTCTATGAGCCGATATGCCGCGTCTAAAAATAGACGGAAAAAATAGTATATACAGTTTATATGAAAACTTTCTGGCGCAGAGTATACAATTGAAACAAGCAGATCTGTTCGTTACATAATTCACGAACACCTCAAAGCCTTATATAAACTTAATACAAAAACACAGTAGTTCTATAGCTTATCAATATGTAACTGAATATAACATTTCTGATACTGAGTGTCCTTTAAAAGCAACAGTTTCGCCAAATGTCGGGCTGTCAGGGCCTGGTGGTTAGGGTGCTCGACTCGCAATTTGTGAGTCACGGGTTCGAATCCCGTCACCGAACATACTCGTCCTTTCTGCAGTGGGAGCATTATATTGTGACGATTAATCCCACTTTTCGTTGGTAAAGAGTAGCCTAAGTCCTAAAAGATGACGGTAGATGGTGTTGACTAGCTATCTTCCCTCTAGTCTATCACTTCTAAATGAAAGATGCTTTGTGCCAAATTCAACAAAGCATATATACAATGATCAAATGTCATATTGTCTTAGACCGCAAATGTAAAGAAGCTTTTCTAATCTCTGATTGAAAACCTGATTAAATAAAAAAAAATATCGTTCTTTTATTAGATATCCGTATAGATATATGTCTGTTATTTTACACTTTCATTTAAATTAATTCAACCTTCTGACGAGTTAATATCAACATTTGTATTTATCATTTATATCTAGATTCTAAATTATAATTTAGTGAATAATTTCGTTTTACGTTTCTATGTTATATTAAACGAATTTAAAAATTGTAAAGTCACTAATATAAGTTTGTTTGTTTCTTGTTAAGCACAAAGCTACACAATGGGCTATCTGTGCTCTGCCCACCACGGGTATCAAAACCCGATTTCTAGCGTTGTAAATCCACTGTGCCACTGGGTAGCATACTAATATGAGATCAACAACACTCTGTTATTTAATTTATGTAAATCATATTGGTGCATTAAAACAGATTCACTTTAGAAATAAATGGTTTTATAACACCAACTTTAGTGTTGGTTTATATTTAACTGGTCACTTAATTTCATTTAAACCAATTAAAACATTGTACAGGGAGTTACGGCTTGTGTTTTAGTGTAACGCTCTTGAAGAAAACGTTCAGTAAAACGAAATGTTCAGTATCCGATTCAATAAAAAAAAAGAGTATAAATAATATTCATTATTATGTAATAATAATATTTCGAATGTTCTTTTGAGAGAAATACTTTTGACGTCACGTGAAAGAGTATTTTAACTCAATTCATATATTAAAGTATCTTATCCTATCTCAATGTTTTTCAAGCTGTTTAGGTTTCGCCCTCTTTCTTCCCTGTAAAACACATTGCCCCCCCCCCCAGAAAAGAACGCTCAACTAATTAATATACAACTAATGCTGATAATGATAAAGTTAGCTTTAAAAAATGGAAGACGAAACAATTTCCAGATTCTCCTCATGCCCCCCCCCCCCCAAAAAAAAAGAATACGATTGCGCTCTCTGGGTGGAGTGGAACCCCACAGTTTGGAAACTACTATCCTATCTGTCAGTTTTGTACGAGCTCGAAGAAACCTAACTGGCAAAACAATGAGTAAATTAAAGTCTGATTTATCTGGAATAAATAGTCGTTTTTTTTCTTGTTTTTCTAATTGACCGAACAAAATATCAACTGAATATATATATATATACTTTAAATTTATTCATGAACGAATTTTTAAAATCTTGAAATCAGAAATTTGCATTAATAAAGGAGCTCTGGAAGTGAATCCGAAGATGAGATTCGAGCCACTGCCAACAGGGGGCTCTTTAAAGAACACGAACATGACGTAGTTCATGGATCTGAAATGGAATGTGATCGACAATGTAAGAATATTATTATCTAAACAAAAAAACGAAGTGGTGGAAAGAATAAACAAATAACATATCCTTAATTCAACTTGGAGTATTTCCTAGTGTATATATAAATATATATTTATTTAGATACAATGTTTAATAAGATATGGATATGGAATGCCTCTCTCACCTGAATACAACTTGAATAATAAAGTTTAATTATCCAAAAAATCTAAGTGATAAAACTTACAAAACTTTGACATTTTTTTTTTTTGTAGTATCGTTGACAGCCAGAAGAAAGTCCTTGCCATATGCAATATCTTATATTTTGCTGTGCTGGGAATTCAATATATTATATATTGTTGTATTAAATAATTCACAAACAAACAGTTAAAATGAATAATTATATATCAAATTTACTTTTTTTTTAGCTTTGGAATCTTATAGAATCTGTTAGCTTTATTTTTATATTATTATATTGAAACGTTATTTATACTTGATAGATTTTCAGCATCCCCACAAAACAGACCTAATTTGTGGGGCTGATATACTGAGAGCACCTACGGTAACAGTCAGAACAATCTGCAAATCTGAATTGTTAAATAATTACCATCCCACAATGAAGTTCATTTTTTAAACACTCTGATAACCTCGAGACTTTGTCGTTCCTAGATGTTCAAATTATGATTGAGATTTAACAATGTAACTACTTACTACACTTTATGCAAACCACGTGAAAAACCTTTTTTTTTTTAAATTATCATTCACCTCCATTACCTATGGCTCAGAACTAAGGTTTAGGGCTTAAAATACAGAAAAAAAGGGTTTGATAGCTACGGTGCGCACGCCACAGTAAGCCCACTGTGTAGTTTTGCACTTCACAACAAAACAAACAAACACATGATCCATTGCAGGTTAAGAGCGTTGGTATTACCGGTAAACTTGAACTTGTATGTATTAATGGGATTTGTTAATATAGATTGATAATACATTATTATGCTACATACTTGAGAACAACATAATATATTATGAAAGAAAAACAACTTACACATACACTGGGTGTGTGGCGACACAGCGATACGATACGGGCATCGTATCGTGAAGCTGTGATACGATAGTACCGATACAACGTCCGATACGATAAAATACTATTTAAATATCTTCACAAAATTTGGCAAGCTTTCAGTAAACATTAAAAGTCTTTTGTACAGAAAAAATCAGAATGTCTAATAAAGTATTTTTTGCTAAAAATTAATGTTTTAATATATGGTGTCAAAGTAGTTACTGCTTCGAGTGTAAAGCGATTTTCATGTTAAGATTAAAAATACTTTCTCCATCTAAAAATTAACAAATTTATTTTGTGTAATCTCTAAAACCTCCGAAATAAATTTCCAACTTTTTTTTTTCATAAATCTTCATATTTTATCTGCTATATTCACTTCTGTAATTTTATGTGAAGTCGGTCAGTTTGACCAGCCTCGTAACCACCATAAAAATACAAAATAAATCAAATCTTTCTAGAATTACTTCAGATTGTAACAGGAAACTACATTTGCTTACACTAAATAACTTAAAGCTCTTAATATAATACATCTGTTTCTAATTAAGTTTTGTTGTCAAGACTGTCAAACTTTGTAACAAAACGTTGGTAAAACTTCTGTATCTAGACACGTATCGTATCATGGCATCAATATCTAGATATGTATCGTATCAGCCCTAATATGCACAAATGATGGGTACAAAACAAGGGAAATCTAGTACAACTTTAGTTATCTCTTACATTAGCCGCAAATTCTCCACACGCTTCAGACAGACAAGGAAACAGATCTTAATAAAAAAGTGATTCAAAAACCAGGTAAAATCAGTAATTCAACAAATCATTTGATAAATGCTCAGGATGTCGAGTTGGTTTAAATGGAGAATACATTGAAAAAATGTAGCATATAACTGAACATGTAAACTTTATGGTGCAGAATATATGGCTGAACCAAGCAGACGCATTCGGAAAATAATTCACAAACTTGTTTTTAAGACGTATCCACTTAATTAGCGAACAATGTGAAGTTATGAAACAGCATTTTGTGAAAAAAAAACATAACAAAGAAATAAACCTATTGTCCAACAATTAGTTGTTTCAAAACTTGATATAATTAACAAACATCTTATAGCTTTACATAAACGTAATGCACAAAATGGTTTAGTTAACAAACATCTTATAGCTTTACATAAACGTAATGCACATAATGGTTTAATTAACAAACATCCTATAGCCTTTGATAAATGCAATGCACAAAATGGTTTAATTAACAAACATTTTAGCCTTACATAAACGTAATACACAAAATGGTTTAATTCACAAACATCTTATAGCCTTACATAAACGTAATACATAAAAATAATTTAATTAACAAACATATTATAGCCTTACATAAACGTAATGCACAAAATGGTTTAGTTAATAAACATCTTATAGCCTTACATAAACGTAATACATAAAATGGTTTTAAAACTGATCATTATCTAACTGAAACTGGCATTGTTGATACTGAGTGTCCTTTAAAAATATTAATTTTGGGCAAATGTTATAACTTCTTAGACCGCAAACGTAAAGAAGCTTTTCTAATCTCTGAGTAGAAAAATGGCGTTGAATAAAAAAAATCCTCCAGATATCCAACCCATAGATAAAGTTGTTATTTTACCAATTCATGTAAAATGTGTTAAACTTCTGAATAGTTAATATCTCCATTTGTATCGATTAATGTTTATATATAAATTCTAAATGTAACTAAGCGAATAATTTGAATTTTACATTTGTGTATGATATGAAACGAAATTATAACACTGTATAGCCACTAATATGAGATTAACAATAATCTGAGAACAATTATTATGCAATAACAATTTCAAATATTTTTCTGAGCACAATAAGTTTCATGTCACGAGAAAAACATCTTAAATTAACTTAGAAACCAACGTATCTTCTCCTATAGATTAGTTTTATGTTTTATCGTCAGTATGGTTTCATTTTTGGTTGATAGAACTAGTTTAGTTCTCTGTGCCATACCACTGAAAACTAACATAGAAAAGAGCTTAGAGATGTAACACAGATCACAGAACAACATATTATATCTGGGGAAGAACAGGCCCATCTTTAAGCAGGTGTTTCTAGTGTTACTTTAGTGACTTTAGGTTTCAGGATATAGCATTTTATGTTAGTGATTTTAGGTTTCTTGATATAGTATTATATATTTTAGTGACTTCAGGTTTCACGATATAGTATTTTATGTTATTGACTTCAGGTTTCGTGATATCGTATTTTATGTTATTGACTT